AAGGTTGTAGAACCTTCCCTGAGTCAGTTTTTCCTTTTTTTTTGTTTTTTTGATTTTCCTTTCTCATTTTTCCTGTTTCTTTATTTTTTATTTTTCCTGTTAAATTTCCTTTTTTTCATTCATGTTTTTCTTTTTATTAGCGTTTGTTTTCTATTTTCATTTAATTTTTTCCTTTTGCTGTAATTATTTTTTATTTTGTGAATATTTTTTGAAAGTTCAAACATTTTTTGAATTTCTTTTCCAAATTCATGACATTATTTTTTGCAATTATAAACATTTTTTGAAATTTGCCAAAATCTGTCAAATTCGTGAATATTTTTTTTACATTGTGAACATTTTTTGGAAAGAACATATTTCAAATTCACGAACATATTTATTAATTTTGAATATTTCCCAAATTTGTGAACATTTTTACTATTTCACAAACATTTTAAAAAACGTGAGAATTTTTAAAATTGGTGGAAATTTTTCTGAAATCATGATTTTTTTTACAAATTTGTGAACATATTTTGAACATTTGTTTTAAAACTCGTGATCATTTTTGTGAATCAGCAGAATTTTTTTTGAATCGGTAAACATATTTTAAAATTCATGAACATTTTTTGAATCAATCATCTTTTATCTAATTTCTAAAATCCAGGAACATTTTTTGATGAGTTTGAACAATTTTTTAAAATTCATGATTTTTTTGAATTTGTGACCTTGTTCAATTTCACGAATTTTTCTGGAATGCCTGAAATGTTTTTGATTTACCGAACAATTTTTGAAACTCATGAATATTTTTTGAAACTCATGAACATTATTTGAATATACAGACTTCATTTCAAAACATGAACAATTTTTGAACCCATGAACATTTTATGACTTTCCAAACATTTTTTAAAATTATGAACATTTTTTGGATTTATAAAAATGTTGTTATTTCTCAAAAATTTCTAATGTTCTGAAATCCTGAATTATTAAAAATCAGAAATGAAAAAAAGCCGAAAAAACAACATAATAAAGCAGGTGCTTCTCGCCCACACATGGGCCGGCCCAAAAAATGTGCAGGGGTGTGCGTTTTTGGCGTGCAGGTTCGTCCCAAGAAAGAAAAGGTAAAACAACTTGGCCTGCAGGTTGCGAAATAAGATTTGCAAGCCACCCGTTTCCTTCATTTTTATAGTCTGCTTCACAAACCAAGCCCAATATATCATATGGAGCAGCCTATTGGATATTGGTACTCATGACCAGAGCTGGAACCATGCTCGTCTCAAAAGGAAAATGGAAGCATGTTGAGATTTCGTGAGTCCTCAACGAAAGAAGAGATGTGGCGCGACAATTGTGGCAACTTTGTGGCGGTGGCTTGAAGCGG